ATAAATAAAAGTCATAAGGATTAAAAAGGAAAAAGCAAAAATTAGATTATCTGCAGATTGAAATAATTGGCTCTGTAGAAAACCCAAGAGAATCTAAATTATTAGAAATAATAAGAGGGTTTAGCAGTTTCTAAATATAAAATCAATACAAAACAATTACAAAAAGGAAAGAAATCCTGTCACATGCTATAATATGAATGAACCTTGAGGACATGACGAAGTGAAATAAGCCAGTGACAAGAGGCTATACTGTATGGTTCCACCTATATGAGACATCTAAAGTAGTCAAATTCCTACAAACAAAAAGTGGAATAATGGTTGCCAAAAACTAGGAGGAGGAGAAAATGGGAAGTTCTTGTTTAATGGGTACAGATTTTCAGTTTTGCAAGACAAAAAAGTTCTAGAGATCTGTTGTCCAACAACATGAATATACTTAGCACTACTGAACTGTGTACTTAAAAATGATTAAGATGGTAAGTTTTATGTCATATTTTTTACCACAATTAAAAATTTTAGAGCCAGCCCTGACGGCCTTGTGGTTAAAGTTTGGCACACTCCACTTCAGCAGCCTGGGTCCAGTTCCCGGGCACAGAGCCTCACTGCTCATCTGTTAGTAGCCATGCTGGGGCGGTGGCTCACATAGAAGAACTAGAAGGACCTAGAACTAGAATATGCAACTATGTAGTGGGGACTTGAGGAGGGGGAGAAAAAAAGAGACACAGGAAGATTGGCAATAGATGTTAACTCAGGATGAATCTTTCCCAGCAAAAAAAAAAAAAAAGAAATTAAGTATTTTAAAACTCAATTACATTCCTATACCAATAACAATGTATATATTTTTTAAACATGCCATTTGCAACAACGTCAACAAATTGTACAATTAGGTGTTTTTATGGCAAAAATGATAACATGTTATTCAAAGACATTAAAGAAAACCTAAATAAATGGAAAAATAAACCATGTTGATGGACTGGAAGATTCAATATTCTCCACAAGTTGATCTATAGAATTAATGCTATGTCAATCAAAATCCCAACAAGTTGTTTCGTGGAATTTAACAAGCTCACTCTAAAGTGTCTATTTTAAAATAGGAGGCCAAGATACCCCTGAAAACAAAGAGCAAGCTGGGAGATTTGCCTTACCAGATATTAAGGATTATTACAAAAATATAACAATTAAGATGGCACTGTATTGGCCTAGAAATAGATCAGTCAATCGATAGAACAGAAAAGAGAGCTCAGAAACAGACCCACGCACACATTTATTATACACCACATTGCAGAGTGGTGGAGAAGGAAAGGAACTTTTAATACATTTTTCTGGAACAATTGTTTATGTGGAAAACAGATTTGACTTCTTCATCACACTATATACAAATACATGGTATTATTCCAACCATATAAAACTCACCACTATCAAAAACCATACATTGTTTACAGATGAAAATATATGTAGTAAAAATTATTAAGGAAAGAAATGAGAAAACTCAATGATCAAACAGTGGTTCCACTAAGAAGGAAGGAGATGGGATGGGGAAGACAACCCAGGGGGTTGAAAGGTAATGATCATGTTCATTTCTGAGACTCAGTGGGTCTTGTGTCATTATTCTTCATCTTAGATGCATTCCATAAATCATCCTGGAATACTCTGAATACGTAATTAAAAAATGTAAGGGAAAAAGATGGAGAAGAAATGGCCGCAGTATGGGTGATAAGAATAGCACTAGTGAACCGGGCAGGGGATGGGGAGTGCCCGGTTGTGGTCCCAGCTCCTTCTTAACTTATAGTTTGCCCTGAGTAGAGGCACTTTCTTCCCTGTAACTTAGTCTTCACCTGTTGAATGGGATCAGTAACACACACTACACATAAATCTTCCAAGGATCAAAAAGACAATGGATCTGAAAGTGCCTTGTGAAAGTAAAAGTGCTATACAAACGGAAAGCAGCATTGTTCTTGACAATTTCATGTTTGCTTGGCAGAGAACAAACAGCTACACCTGTGACTCAGCCCTAAACTCCTCTTACGGGAGACGCTCCGGACACAGAAAAGGGCTGTGGTGCCGCCGCTTCAGCCTCACGGCCATCACGGTGGCTAGATTGGAGGATTAATGTCAGTTATGCACGGAGAGGGCGAAAATGAGCCTCAGCAGGGAGACCTGGGGAACACAGAGCCACGCCTACTGTCCAGCCTGCAGGTGAACTGGACCTCCTGGATCAACCTCAGCAAAGGGACAGGACGTGAAGCCCCCAGCTTACCTCTGAACCTCTCCGTCTCCTCTGAGCCCAAACTACTGCTCCACAGAGTGAGCTCAAAGGGCTCACTTCCAACTTTCCTCGGTTGGAGGCAAATGCAATAAAAATGTGCAGTCTGTGCCCCTCTCCACACCCACTTACACCCTTTGACAGCTGCACTCACCAGATTCCAGTGCAAATACTGCCTCCTCCCACCACCCGCTCGGCAAAAAAGAAAACCCTTTAAAGTCATACCCTCAGAGCAAACAAAAGATTTGCTATTTGTTTGGGGTTTTGTTTTCTTTTTTAAATCCATGTTCCTGTTCCCCTCCACTACTGTGGAGAAGCAGAAGCAGAAGGACACACCTGTTTATTTAGCAGGTGGACTGAGAATGTTTGTTGATCCTCTTCAGCCTCCTGGCCTGCCTGCCCACCCACCGGAGCTCCCTGGAAGCTCATGCTGACTGCCTTGCCTGCGCAGCCCCTCCCAGCGGCAGCAGGTCTTCACCCACTGAAACGACTCCTCCTCCCTCTTTGTACCAAGGTCTTCTCCCCGCTGAAAGCAGGGGAGGGGAGAGGCAGGGGTTCCGATTCTCTTTGTCTCTGCAAACCCCTCCCCTTCATTGACTTGCTCATCACAGGTGTGTCTCAGGTGAAGTTGAGTTGCTTTTTTGGGATTTGATTGCTAGGAGCAAAAATATCCCCTTGCTGACATTCCCTGGGTGTCCACGTCCTGTATCCCTCCTCATAGGAAGGGCTCCCTGATGACCAGGGCTGTGGTACCACCACCATCAGCTCCTCCCCAGGAATTCAAGAAAACCAACCCAGACTTCCTGCTCTCTGCCCACGCAAGGGTGCTCACTCCACACCCCAAATTGCCAGCCACTGCGGGGCCAGGAAGGTACTTTTCCAGAGGAAGTGGAATAGAGCCAAGGCTTGCATGTGGCTGTGCAGACGGGCAGCTGGAGTTCTGAGTCCTTCCTGCTCCCCAACAGTGCCAGTGCCTATGCCCTGTGGGGCAGCGGAGGCAACTAGAGAAGGAGGAACTCCAAAGGCGATGCTTCCAGCCCTCTGGGGACTGTGCGCACATCCCCACCCTACGGAGGAAGAAGACGACTTAATTCCACACATTTGGGCCTTCAGGGAAGAGGGGCGGTGAGTAAGAGGGGAAAGAAGATGTGACCTCCCTCTGAGGTTCCTACAGAGGAACTTGCCTGGCTCAGACTAGGCCCGGAGGGGAGAGAACTGTAAGGGATGCCCCACTGCCCTGAGACAGTTCACCCCCTTGCACCCCACCTTCCCTGCCCAAAAACACTAATACAAACAATGGACTCAGACAATTAGTCATCTTCCCTGCAGGGGGCTGACAGCCAGTCTTGGCTCCAATGGGATAACTGGGGTGATTCATTCTGCTGAGGCTGCAGGGATGGCCTGGCTCAATATTGACTGAAAGGCTTGAAGCTGTGGTGGGCCCAGCCCCAGGGACCCCCACCTGGCCCCATTCACGAGCACCCCGTGATTCACATGTTCATGCAGCTGCCAGCTCTTCAGACCACCACCCTCAACACAAAGAACCCTGTCCCTGAATGCAGGAACAGACTCCTAAAGCGTGCCTCCCGCCTTTGACTGGGGCCCAGGCAGCGCGGTGAACTCAGCCATACCGCACCCTCGGTGGTCTCACGTGGAATGCTCCCCCCAGGCTTTGGGCATGCCAGCTGTGCCTTCTCTGCCCCCACTTCGATGTGGTGAGAAAGTGGACTAGCCTTGCCCCATGGCCCTTCCATCCTTCCCCTCTCACCACATTCAAAGTTAAAACACGTCTTTGTCTTGGGAGACCCCGCTAGGACTCTCTCTGCCCCAATCTGGACCCATCATAGCCTGGCTCAAGCATCATTTCCTTCTCCAAGCCCAGCCCAGAACGCTCTTTCCTGGAGACCACTGAGTCTTCCTTTAAGATGACTTCATCCAGAAGGGGCATCTTTTCTAATTCACAGAATGGCAGCTTATGAGCTAACAGCGGCCTTCGCAGGGTCGGTCCACCATCGTGTGGACCCTCTGTGAGGAAAAAAACAACTTTGTTTTCCAGAGATGCTGCCTCGGCATTTCACAGTGGGATAACCCTGCTCATGCTCAGCCAGAGTCTGGACACTTAGATAAGGACTTGAGTTTAGGATTCCCGCCATAAGTTCCCGCTTTACTTTTCCCAGAGCACCTTTACAATAACCACTTAGAGTGAAGCCCTCAAAAAGTGAATGACCTCCACCCCATTCACCTTCTAAGTAATAGGTTCCTGCTACCCTGCTCTCTATTTCAGGCTCACTTGTGACCCCGGACAGAGGACTGCCCTTCCCCCAGCTCATCGCGCCCCCTTACTTCTGGGATCTGTAAGTAATAATAAATCTAGTGACTCTACTTCCTTTTTGGCGGTGTATTGAAACTGTGCCTTCAATCAAAACGACCCCTGTGGGTTTCACCTCCCTGAAATAGGACCAGGATGCTGAGGGAGCTACCTGCTGCCCCCTTGTGGGTGGCTTGCTCCTCCTCAGTCAGCAGGTCATAATGTGCACATTCTTAATTCAACACACCAGCTCTGGCTTCTCAACACACCCTCCCACCAGCTCCCTCCCCCCGCCCCCCCCCCGCCCCACCCCCACCCCCGGTGAGTCACTGAGTCACTCCGGGAGGTGACTGTGAGCAAACCGTCTCATGGCTGGTGCAGCACCAAAGAGAAGAGGAAACAGAAATCATTGGGCAGCCAGGACACAGGGGTAGATTCGACCAAAAAGAATATTTATTGTACAATTAACAACCACTGGATTTGACTCAGACAAGCCCACTAGAGTGTGTCTCCACTTTGCCAACTTAACTGCAGGCCTTGAGGACTTCATTGTATATCATAGCCAAAGCCCCAAGGAAGGTGACATATTCCTGGAAGTTCACCACCTGGTCCTTGTTCTGGTCCAGGTCATCCAACAGCTTTGCAATTTCCGAGTCCTCCAGCTCCTAACGTGTTAGAATGGGAAATCCAGACTCAGTGGTGACAAGACCCCTGGGTCCTCTCCCTTCCTCCTCCCAGGCAGCCCTCTCTCAGATAAGTGGCTCTGTGCTCACTTGTCACCAAAGCCCCAAGTCCACTTTGGGTTCACTTGGCTTTACTGGTCTGCTCCTGCTCCTGACTCTGGGGAGTGAAAACCAGGCTGAGAGGACCCCCTACCCCCTCAGGGGAGTGGACCAATGGGCTCAGTGAGCATGTGGACCAGGGCCCCAGAAGGTGGGTAGATGTGAGTCAGATGCCCCGGCTCCTCCCCCTCTCCTAATCCTGCTTCTACAGGGCCAGGGGTGGGATGACCAGCCTGGGGAGGCTCACTCACAGCGCCAATGGTGAGCTCCTTCTGGATCAGCTCCTTCAGCTCACCCTTGCTCAAGGTGTTCTTGTCGCCCTCCCTGCTGGAGTACTTGTGGAAGATAGCCACGAGGAGGCTGATGGCCTGATCCAGGGGGCACGCCATGGCTGAAGGCTGGACTCAGAGCTGGGGGCAGAGGGGCTGGTCAGCAGGGGCTTCCCACTCACCCAACACCCCAGGAGCTCTGTCCCCTTCTCCTCGAACCCACGCACTCCTTTTGTCTGCCTGCCTGAACCACCCAGCCTCAGGCACACACAGGTGGCCTCAGGAGACAACCCAGGGCTTGAAGGGGAGCGAGTGGGCAAACTCTAGGTTCAGGAGATCAGCGGCCTGAGGGGGACACGAGGAGAGGTGGTGCAAGGATCCTAAAGAGCAAATAGGGCCACAGCTGAGAACTCCAGGGGTTCCAGGAGAAGTTGGGGAGGATGGGGGGCGGGGAGGTGGAGGCAGCACAACCAGCCCCACACACAGCCTCACAAGACCACAGCTGCGGCGTTGACACACCCAGGCCACACCCTCCCGCGCCCCAGCAGAGCGCGGGGAGCCGCCCCGCCGCACGCCCAGCCCGGGGCTGGCCCGCCGCTCCCGACCCTCCCGCCGGCCCAGGGGCTCGCAGACGCCGCAGCGGGATCCCGGCGCCGCCCGCAGAGTCCGCAGCAGCCCCCCGGGGGCAGGCGGCGGCTGGGCGAAGGCGGGGGCGCCGGGCCGCGCTGGCGAGAACTCACCCGGGGCCGCAGCGAAGCGCAGACGGAGCGGTCGAGGTGATGCGCTGTGTAGCCGACCGGGCGCCCGCCTTATACCGGCCGGTGTGTCCACCCTACCCGCCCAGGGCCCGCCCCGCGCCCCACCCCGCGCCCCACCCCGCGCCCGTGGTTTACACAACACGAACACCCCCGGCCCCTCTCAACTTTCCACGCCTCCTGCCCCGGGGTTGTTCCGCGTTCCGAAGGTGAGGGAGCCTGGCGGAAGGATGGGGGCCCCTAGTGGAGACCCCCCGCAAGCCCAGTGACCTGGAGCGCCCCCTAATCTCCATAGCTCAGTTTGCCCACCGTCGTGAGACGTGTGACACGGGGGTGGGGAGGTGGAGGGCATGGGGGGGCGGGGCGCCTAGAGGGTGTTCAGGGTCAACCCTAGATGAAGGAGAGGACCAGCCAGTGGTCTACAGGATATGATTTAAAGGACGTCTAGAACATCCATCTCCCAGCAAAAATAAATTCCTACCACCGCCCCCACTCCCTTCCCCCCGCGCCTGGCATTCCACCCGGAGCCTCTTGCCCACTACTGTGCACACACGCCTGAGCCGAGCCTTGTAAGCATCATTAGTTATTCACCCTGTAGTGAAAATCTTTTTCAGATCCTGTCCTGAGAAATGATTTTGATAGGGAGAGGTGGGGAGAGCAAAAAGCACTGGACCCCAGAGATGATTGGGGTGGGACGGGCTGGGGTGGGACTTGCGGCTGAGGGAGATATGGAGGAGAGGGAAAGGGGGCTGGCCTGGAGCCAGAGCCAGACTTCCCCTTTGCATTGGTGTTGCAGGGTGGCCTCCAGCAAGCTGGTGACAAATCAGACTGGCTTGTGCACCACTTCCCTCCGTGTCCTCACTCTCAAAGCACTTTCCCTCTTAGCTTTCTCTGCATCTCTGCAGCAAGCAGAAGCCTGGCCCAATCTCCCCATTTTCCAGAACGGCAAAACTAAGCCCAGGGTCTAGCGGGTGGCATAGTGGTTAAGTTTGCATGCCAGCTTTTGCTGCCCCAGGTTCACCAGATCAGATCCTGTGTGCGGATCTACCCACCACTGATCAAGCCATGCTGTGGCAGCATCTCACACAGAAAAACTAGAATGACTTACAACTAGGATATACAACTATGTACTGGGGCTTTGGGGAGAAAAAAAAAACGAGGAAGATTGGCAACAGATGTTAGCTCAGGGCCAATCTTCCTCACCAAAAAAAAAAAAAAACCTAAGCCCAGATAAGCTCAATGATGTCACACTGTAGAAGGACAAGAAGTGGGGTGGAAGCCCAGGACCCTAATGCCAGAGACTGTCAACCCACTCAAGGAGAAGCTTTTCCTTGCACACTATCCCCAGCCAAGGTGGACAAGATGTCTTCAAAACCAGCCTCCAGACACCTGGAATGGGAAATCTTTATTTGCTTTGATGGGAGAGAAGTCTGAAGCAGGGCCATCTGAGAGGGAGAGGAGCGCAAGGGGCCACAGAGGGTCTGTGAGAGGAGCTGCAGAGGCCAAGGGCAAGGAGCTGAGCCCCGGTCACTTGTCCTCCAAGAAGAAGTCGTTATAGGCCATGCACAGCGTGGTCAGGAACACCGAGTACTCCTTGAAGTCGATCTCCTGGTCGCTGTTTTTGTCCAGGCTCTTCATCAGGTCATCGATACTGCTCTTCTTCATCTTCTTCGAGGACCCAGGAAGAGGAACAGGTCAGCCACACCGCCTTGCCCTGCCCCACTGCTGTGTGTGGTGCCACCCATCCCCTGGGAAGGCAGCCTCAGGGTGATCCCCAGCTGGGTCAGCAACCGTCTGAGCATCTCGACCCCCCCCCCACCGAGTCTCCCCTCAGCCCACACCCAGTACAGGGCCTGGCACCAAGCAGAGGCTCAGGGACCTGACTCCTGAATCTAAATAAATCACAGCAGGAAGGCTGGTCAAGCCTCCCTTCTCTCAACACTGCACCATCCAAAGAAATAATGGTCTAGATTGTATATAACACCTAATAGAAACAGGTCGGTGACTATGCGGCCTGAGCATGATGCCTGTCTCCAACTCCTTCTGTCCTTATAGGGGAGAGTTGAGAACTGACCCAGACAACACGTCTCTCCAGGAGAGCAGTGTGTTGGAGCTGAGAAACAGTCGAGTCCTTCCTCTCTAGGAGAGCTTGCAAGACAGCTGAGTGGAAGTGAGTGCCTGGCACCCAGTCTTACTCTCTGTCTGGTCCCCTGCCCACCAAGCCCGGCTCTGCCAAGAGGATGGAGACAGGGCCTTCGGGTGGAACAAGAAGAAAATACAGGCACATCCTGCCATCCCCTCTTCAGGGCCCTCAGCTCCAGCTTTTCCACAGGAGACAGAACTTTGAGACATACGGAGATGGAAACAGCCTCTCTGTGACGTGATCTTTGTTCCCAGTCTGGGCTCCTATTATAGCCAGGCCCTCCCCAGGGGCCCTGTCCCCCTGTAACTAACCCCTGCCAGCTCGTGGTTCCTCCCTCTGCCCTCATTAACCCCAGGATGCAGAGAGCCTGGCAGGAAGCCCGGAGGGCAAGCCGGGGGACACCCACGCCTGCTTCTCCCCTGCCCACAGGGGCAACTCAGGGGAGCTGCTCTCTGGGGCGGCCCACCAGGGCTCAGGATGTGACAGGAGAGGCCTGCAAGCTGAATTTTAAAGGAAAAAGGGAGGGTGACACACAGGCCTGGCCTGGAATTCCAACTCAGCCTCATACTAGCTGTGGCCTTGGACAAGTTATATAATGTATCTAAGCCTCAATTTTTTCTTAACTGTTAAAATAATATCTTGACTACCTCACAGGCTTTCCCCTCTGTCAGTTATCTCCCTCCCACCATCTCCATCTGGTAAGAATCAACTAGGTCTCCTTCCAACCTTGTGTTCACAAAGGAGCAGAAAGGTCCTTTTGGTTCCAAGTCAGCACCAGCTGAGAGCCCCTGATGTGCCAGGCGCATGGAGGGGCGTCAGGTTGGGGCCCTGCCCTTGAGCAGTGCACAGCTCGACCTGGACCCCCTGGGTCCCCTCATCCCCCATGATCCCTCATACAGGTTCCACCATGGCTTTGCAGGTCTAGCCTCAACACAGAAGCTTCCTTGATCTCGTTCTCTAAACCCTCACCCAGGCTGTAGTCCACCCTCCAGATGCCACCCTTCCTCTTTCCAGGGAACCCTGACTCACCCTCCAGCACGGAGGTCCAAAGCTCTGTTGGCCCAAGTTGCCCACCTTCTTCCTTTGGTCTCTGTCCGTACCTTTTGGCCACCCTGCTCCTGGCTGAGATTAGGGCACCTTGACGGCAGGTGTGTGTCCTCACGCTAGATGTCTATGGAAGCAGAGCTGGGCCTCTCGCCTCACTCTGTCAGTGGTATGGGTGCTCCCCCTCATGGTACCCCCTCATGGTACTCATGGGAGCACTCAGACTTTGGAGGGAGGGGGACAGTCACCTACCTCACCAAGACACAGCTCCTTCTTGATCAGCTCCTTTAGTTCCTTCCTACTAAGGGTCAGTTTGCTGCCCTCTCTCCCCGAATATTTGTGGAAAGTCGTGACCATAGTGGTCAGGGCCTTCTCAAGAGGAGTCTCCATCACGGTGTGTGGCTCTGAAGGGTGAAGGGAAAGGAGACGATTACATTGCCAGGGGAAGCCAGACCTTCTACTCCCCGCACCTCCCAGCCCCTCCTTCAAGGACCAGAGACTGGAACCCGTAATGGGACTGAAATCCACCAACGAGTAGACCCAAATGTGTCGGCGCAGGTTGGACTGAGACCCAAGGCCGTCTTGGAATGGCCAGAGGGGTGAGACTGACCAGGCTCGCAGGAGACTGCACGCTCTCCTGCTTAGGGAATGTTGAAAAAGGGGTCTAGGGGCAGAGGGATGACAGGATGACCTCCCCAAAAGAAAAACTGGTGGCAGACATGGAGCAGATAAAGGGTAAGGACTTCTCCCTGCCCCGTCCAGCTTGGGCACTCATTTTCCAGAGACAGTCCTCACCATAGTCACCCTCCTGTGCACAGATGCCTGATTGACCTGATAGCGGGGAGTGTCCCATTGTAGAAGTGGGGGACAGGGCAAAGGGAGAGTCCAGAGGTTGGAGGGGGCTGGAACTGGGAGATAAGGTCTCAACAGGAAACTGGGGAGAGGTGATTGGACTTGTCCAGCTGGTCTCAAGTCTCCAGCCCAGGGAACTGCACGTGCAGACTGCCACAAGGCAGTGAGGGGGCAGGCCTAGTGAAAGCTCCGGGGTCACTCTGAGAGCTGGAGCCAGAGGCTGGGTTTGAATGGAGCCCTCCAGGCCATCAGCACAGTTGCACCCACCCAAGGGACAAGGCAGCTGGAGCTCCTGTGACTCAGACTTGAAAACCACTTCCCCCTTAGGGAGGAAGGAGGCAACACCCGAGGAACTTGAGGGGTGCAGGTAAATCTCTGTAGAGTCCTGAGCAAGGAGGAAGCAGCTGCTGGCTCTCCCCTTCAGCCCAAAGCCCACCTCGTGATTCTCGAACTGGACCTGTCGTTCATCTCCCACCACCCACAACCCTCAGCTTCTCCCCACCTCCAGGAGACTCAGCCAGGACCACAACTGAAGGCAAGCGCCTCTGGGTATCTGCAGGAGCATCCTGGCTGGTCCTGGTCTCCACCTCCACCCCTAGAGTCACTTCTCAGGAAATTCTGATAACCCCAATTCCAGATCCTCTGCCCTCTCCTCCCTAAGCACATGCCCACTCATCGGACTGGGCCTTCCTTGGTGGAGGTCACCACAGCTTGTCACCTTCTGGTCTCATCACCCGCCTTGCCCCACCGTATGGATGAGCAGGAAGATCAGAAGGAAAGACTCACCAAGGAAAGAGTAAACCAGAGAACCAGGCAGCGGAAACAGGCTCCCTCCCACTGCTCTCTGTCTTTATTCCCTTGCTCCCATCACCAGGAAACCAGGGCAGGGAAAGGGCCAATGAGAAGGGGCCGGGGACATGAGGAAGCCCAGGTGAGAGCCTCTTGGGATGGGGCTGGGGAGAAACCCCCTCTGCCAATCTCACCTTCCTTGTTTCCAAGTGGAGGGAGGGGGGGCACACTGAGTTCACCATGGCACACACATCTTCAGTCCCAGAAACTTTGTTTTCCCAACCAAAAATCAGAACTCACAATCTGATGGGACAACAGAGCGGAGGAGGAGAAAGCGGGCTATCCTGGAAAGAAGACCCAGGAGGTGTGGGCCAAATGCAGGGTATCTCCCCATGCCCTAGGCTGCTCTCCACACTGGGGCCCTCCACTCACACCAAGAGCGGAGCAGACACACCTCAAGATGAGAAGCAGTGGGGGGCGATGGTTCCTGCCAAGGGCATTGTCAGGGTCATTAGCTAGTATGGAGCCTAAGATTTTTAAAGGGCTTTTAAATGAGCGATTTCTTCTAAACCTCACTCATCTTCATGGGAAAGAATTCACAGAGACTCTTGAAATGGAGGACTGAGAATCAAGGATTGAGGAGGGGATCTGAGAAAGGGTGGGGCTGGGTGATGGAGTAGAGGTTGTGGGTTGGGGGCAGCAGGGATCAGGGTGCAGTAATGAATGGGGTAGGGGTCAGAGAGAGTTGCCTGTATCCCAGGAGAGACTCAGACATTGTTCTACTGCCAACCAGTCCAAGTATGAGAACAGAACCGAGTTAGGGGCTTAGAATCTGTCGCTGCTGCAGCCCCACCCTAGCCTGCCTGGGTCCTCCCCCCCAGCCCCCATTCCACTCCCACCCCTGGTTGGCCAGGCTAGAGAGGCAGCAGGGACTGGTCGCTAAGCAACAGGAGTTTCCGAAGTAGAGAGTGATGCAGGAGGAGGCTCAGGGGAGGGCACTCCCGTGGAAGATGGGCAGACTAGGGCGGGTGGGGGGGCGGGGAGGAGGCAAACTTTTTCCTGGATGAAAATTCTACCCAAGTCTCCGCAGTCACACTCTAGGGGAACATCTGAGTCACCTACCCAACTCCTCTGAAACTTGAGAGAAAAACACGATGAGATGAGAAGCAAAGGGGAAGGCTTGGGAGGTCAAGGGAACCAAACCCTCCCTGCCTCTGGACCTGCCCTCTGCTCACCTCTTTCTTAAAGGTCCCCATATCACCCAGGAGGCCTGGAAGTCTAACCTCAATCTCACCCACTGCATGCTGGAGCCGATAGCCTTTAAGGGAAAGCAACATCGTATCTGATATTATATGCGGAGGGGGGGGTGGGGGGGTGGGGGGGTGGGGGGATGATAATCTCAATTTCATTTATCAGATCATATGTCTGGAATTTTGTCTCCAAAATTAGGGTCACCTCCCAGTGACTCCCTCACTCCCACCCAGCCACTATCCTCTACTCATCCCTTCTGAGGTCCTTCGTCCTTCTCTGAAGGGGCATGATTCCTAACTGATAACAGATCCACCCCAGAACCTTTGCGGTAGAGAGAGGAGTTAGAGAAGGACAGTATTTTCATGCTGCTGCCAATGGCCAGGTCTCCCTGCACACGGCCTCCACAGACAGGAAGGATTCATCCATCCCCAGGGTTTGAAGCCAGGGCACTGGAAAGCCGTGACAGGACAGGGCCTGGGCTGTAAATTTCAAGACTGAGCCCTCCGCCCCATTCCTCTCTGGCCTCACTACTCCCTCCCTGTGACTCAACCCTTTCCCCCATCTCTCCCCCAGGGTGCCCAGACTCCATTCCAGACCCCAACTAGGAACAGATGTGACCTTCAGTCCCATTCCAACTTCAGTTATAGGTCTCGCCAGAGGCAAGGTTGGAGAGTGGGGAGGGGTGAGCAGGCTGGCTAAGATCCCACAGCTGGGGCATTCCAAGCCTCTGCGGGTCTCTTTCCCCCTGCCTTCGGCCCCATCAGAGTCAACTCTATCACACGCAAACACACACATGCACACACACGTGCATACACACACCCTCAGTCACCTCACATCCCTCTCCCACCTTCACTAGTCTGCTCTCCACAAAACTAAGCTCAACCACCAGTGCTCCCCACCACCACCCCTACATATTACTCAGCGCCCCCCACGCACACACCCCTAGAGTCTCTCAGACCATCAGCCTCAAAGCTTCCAAGAATCTTTATTGAACTTGCTCTGCATCATACACCCATCTGGAGGAGCCAAGGTGAGGCACCATGCCCACTGCCAACAGAGAAGACCCCAGCTGGCAGGCCCCACCCGCATCTCAGGAGCCTTCATTTCTTCCGGGGCTGCTTATCGGGGAAGCCTTCGAAGAACTCGTTGCACATCATGGCGATGCAGGACAGGAAGACACAGTACTCCTGGAAATCCACCTCGTTGTCCTTGTTGCTGTCCAAGTTGCTCATCAGCTTCTGGAATGCAGCTTCATCTGTCCTTTTCTACGGGGGAAGAGGCTACAGGTAGAAACCAGAAGCCCGGGAGTGGAACCAAGACTAGACCAGGATTCCATCTCTAGATCAGAGCTCAGGAAGGTGCAGCCACCTTTGGGGGCCCAGTTTTGGAACTCCAGCTCTCAGGGCTAAACTAGGATGGGAGGAGGGTTACCCCTCAGATGAGGAAGTCAGAGTATCTAGGTGCAGCTGGAGAAGGGCACCACAGTGTCTTCCCTCAGGGTCATTTTAAGAATCCGATTAGATAGTGGCCATGAAAGCAATCTATAAACTGCATAAAGTTTGATACAGATGGAAGCTGCGATTGCTCTGGGGAAGTCTGTAGATGTGTGAGTGTCTCCCTAACTGTGCCTTCACATCCACGAGCCAAATAGAAACTCAGAAATTGTTCATGGCTGCAATGACAGCAAGAGGCAGACCATCCTGGTTTGCAGATCTCAGCTTTGCACACTACCTTGGGAAATTACTTAACCTCTCTGAGCCTTAATTTCTCTTCAGTTACATTGTGCAAAGCACCTGGCAGAGTGTCTGGCCCGTACTCAGCCCCCTTTCTGCTGGGGGCCAGGAAGGGAGTGGTGGGCACTCTCTCTCTCCACCCCAGGCAGCCACAGCAAGCTCTGCCCCCCTTCCCCATCTCAGTGATAGATGCCAGCTGCAGCTACTGCTCTGCAAGAAGACTGGGCCTCCCAGGGCCTTGCCCTCCTCTGTGGGGAATGCTCCACATGGGGGCATACTCCCAGGCAGTAGGCACTCACCCCCAAAAAGCTGGGCAGCTCCCGGGTCAGCAGCTCCTTTAGCTCTGACTTGTTGAGCTTGAACTTGTCACCCTCCTTGCCAGAGTACTTGTGGAAGGTGGATACCATCACATCCAGGGCCTTCTCCAGGGGGTACGCCATGGTGGCAGTCAGGATCTGGGGGCAGGGTCACAGAGACACCCTTGTCTTCCCACCCCCACTCCCAGTCATGTATTCAGAATGCCTCACCCACCCCCATCCCTCCAGGACCACTTGGTGAGACCCTGCTCCTGCCATCGGGGAGCCCAGAAAGGTAGGGCTCAGCCCCTGGTGGGAAGGGTGAGTGCGGTGGGCAATGTGAACATTTGCAGGCCCACTGCGCGCAGGCTCTGGGCTTCAGGCAGCAAGCTCCCGGGGCCTCCCTCGGGCCATGCTCAACAACAGCGCTTTTTCCATCCCTTATTCAGTCTGTTCACTCCCACAGCTCAGCCCACAGCAGCCCCACCCAGGCCCATTCTTCTCCCTCCCAGCACTGGGCAAGGCTGCTGGAAGCCTGCCCAGGGGCCTGCAGCGGAAAAAAACAGTGGCCTAGCGCGTAGCCTAGCATAGGGAGGGGCCGGGTGAGGTGGCAGAGGCAAGGATGCAGGGAAGGGGTGGGGCGGGCAGCCAAGTTCCCTTGGGCTGGGCTGCAGGGTGCAAGGCAGAGGCTTATAGGACACTACTAAACAAAAGCCCACACAGTCGCCTTCTGCCTTCACTTTGCCTCCCTCACTCAAGTGTGCACATGGACTTGTGCAAACAGAAGCTTTGTGCTTGTGCATACCCACAGGTCACATGCACACCAAAACATACTACAACAGCAGCATATGCAAGCCCCAGCATCCCAGTACCCCTCCGATAGCTCGAATCCAGCCACCTGCACACTTTGCTATTTTTTCTCTCTTGCACGTGCACATACATGTGCACGCATGCACACACATGCACGCACACACACATCCCACCCCAGATCCTCCACATCAGAACCTCACATCTGGACCCATTTAGCACATCTGGCCGCCACCAGCCCCCCTTCTCCGACCCCGAGCTTCGGCCTGACACCCCTCGCATGCCAGTCAGGCGACCACAACTCACCAGGCCAAGAGAGAGGAAGCGCTGAGGAGAGAGGGTTGGGGAGAGAGGAAGAGTGGGGAAAGCCCAGCGGTCTGACCTATTTATACCCTGGCCAGGCCCTGCCCATGACAGGGGATGGGGGAGAGGGAAAGACAGCCCTCCTGCTGTGGGCTGATGT